GTGCAACATGCTCGAGTGTGGGAAAGGGTTAGAGTAGCATGCGGGTATATTTTATTGTACAACCTGATCGAATCAGAAAGAGGGGTACATAACATGTGGCCACGTTTTTCTGCATGTCACCGATGATGTTACAGGCCTTGCGCTTCGTCACTCTCTTTTGTGCTACCACAGAGCTCGTTTGAGGGAACGAAGAAGGGTTCTGGGTTAGTGAAAAACGGAGTTCAGCGAAGGCATAGCATAGCGACCAGGAAGGCGGTAAGGCTGCAGAGAATGAGACATCACGTACGTAGCGGCTACGCTGATGTTGATATCTGGCTTCCCATTTCTGTGTCTACCTGGATAAGTGTCATAGAATGACTTACACCTCGCAGACGCCGAGTTTCCGAGAACGCCTAGGCCGTTGCCGGGCTCAGAACTTCGGGAGTTGATGAGGTAGTTACCGAGATTCCGAGCGATGTCGGGACGGAACAGAGGGAGTTGGGTGTAGATGAGCCCGACGGTTAAGGCCTCCCTAGGATTAACGCCCACGTGTACAACTCACCGGCAGGCTTACCGGAAATTCTGATATCTGCTGTCAACACAGTCTGAGCGGCTCTTAAGTTTTGTGCGACCAAGCCAGCCTCATGGCTTCGATCGAGGTTTGTTGTCTTACAAGGTGATGTAACTACCCTATAGATCGTTGGGAGTGACAGCCTCTCGAGAACGCGCGCGTCTCATTTCTTTTAACTAGGTATGGACAGCAGCTCGAGTGCGGTCATATTCTCTTCAACACTCCCTGAAGATTATGCTAGTATCTGGGTGACATCGGTAGCGATGCGTTTAGGGGACGAAGTGACGACCTTGCGTGACATCTACGCATTCCAGGGAGGTGAACGACAGATCTTAGAGATGGCTCGCCGAGCGACTCGATCCGGCTGCCAACAGGTGTGTGTCTTGCCTTTTGCCCCAATTCCAAGACACTAAGCGCAATTGGGTACCTAGCTCATGTCGCTTCTCTCCATGTACGTGGTGTCGAGAAATGCGCTAGACAACGGTCCCGAGGTCGTATAGGAGGTGCAACTTCGCTTGACAGCAATCATGACAGTATGCCTAAAAATAGTGCATACGGAGGGCAAAAAATAACTAAATACGTTTGTTGAACGCACTATAGAGTAGTGTCAAGTACGTACAGCTTGTCTCGCTGTCGCTCTTCCTTGCATGTTCATTCACACTCTGCCCTCATGACCAAAAAATGGCAAAAAAGAAGGTACTGGACGCTGTGGGAATTGAACCCACGACCTTTCACAAGTACGCACGTCTGATGATGCGAAGCGACTGAAGAGAATTGTTAGAATGATGAACGATGATGAGCCGAAATTTGGTGATGTCTTACAAATCATACCCCTGAGAGGTTTGTTAGTTTTGTTGTTATGGGAGTTGGATTCAGTGGCAGCTTACCTAGACCAAGCGCCCTAGTGAGGATTGATGGCAAATTTATCGAGTGTACGATACTCAATTTTAGCAGGTTTACACTTGAAGCGTGAGTATGGGCAGTCGATGATGTAGCGTGGGAAATGGCATGTCGAAATTCTTTGGCGGGGTCGGATCACAAGAGCTGCCGTGGGCAAGGTTAGCATGGCGGGGCAGTGGGCAGCGAATGAATGCGGGAATGCAAGCCTTGGCTAACACTGTTTCTAGTTGCATACTTGGTATAAGCAGAACAGGAATCTTGCTAGTCTTTAGATAACAAAACGCATATGTTCTAGATGATGTGTGGTCTGTAAGGCCTTACAATGCGAGTGGCATACGCCTCAATTATCAGGTTGTCTCATCTCTAGATCTTAGGCACGGGATAAGTAGACTTTAGGGTAGAAGAGTACGAGACGGGTTTCAACAAGCACAAATAATGCATCTCTCTGTAAACATACAGTCGTGGACATCAATCACGCAAGCAAGACACTAGGACAGCACAAAAGATCGTTACATGAACATTATCATTCGTTTATTCATTCATCCTCAAGACCGCCTAATGATTCCACATAGGTCCTACGTCCGAGTCCTGGCTTATGATGCCATATCGAAAGGAAGGTATCGCAAACTTCAACATTTCCTTATCCTCGTTTAGACCTTCTTAGAAGTAGTCTCCTCAGCGTGCTTCTCCAGAGTGTGCTGGGGGTTTGAGCTCAGGCTGTCCTTGGTGTTGTCGCTGGCCTTCTCAGCGCCCTCCTTGGGGCCGGCGCCTTGCTGGTTGACGTTGTCGGAGGTCTGGCCGGATTGCGCACCGGATTGGCGCTCGGGCTCGGGGGACTGGCGGCCGGCGTTGGGGGCAGACATTGTGATGGGTGGTGGGTATGTGAGTTGTTTTGGTGGCTGGAATGGGATGTTAGTAGATGAACGTTTAGTCGTATGGAAGTAGTTGGGAGGTGGGTTCCGAGGTGGCTGGCTAGCTAGCTGAGAGCTTCAGGATAAACATACAGTTGAGTAGGTGTAGTTGTAGTCTGTTCGTCGATTAGCCAACGCCCGTGAAACTTCACGTCAAGAATTGAAACACACCTGTAGTAGAGCTTGTGAAAAGATGTGAGAGTGTCGATGGAGTTGTCCTCCGAAGCTGCCCCTCTGCCTCTTTTCATGCGCGAAGATGCCCCACTAGGCCTGACGTCACATAGCGAAACGCGCTTGAATCGGGCAACATCGACGTCAACTTTCAATCAAACAGCGCGCAAGGGCCCATCGCGGGCTCGCGGGCCAGGGGATGCAATGCTTAGCAAGCGCGTGTGGTGCTTGCTAACAGGTTCGTTTGTGGTTCATGCAGCGATGCCCGGCCGTGGCTGTTATCACTCAACGCGGTGGGCGCGCCTCTTTCCCCATAGGTTTCGCCGAGCTGTCCGGACATCTCGGTGGGTGTGCCGAGAGTGCGGGATGTTTATACAGCGTTGTATGAAATTGTGATTAATGCATTTATGTTGTCATGAGTTGATGATTACGTGCTTCGCTTCGCAAATCTATCAGGCATTCTTGCCCATTTCTATATCGGCATCACCACCATCACAGTCGTCATCCCATTCTCCTCCCTTGAGCCGTTTACCCAGCCAAAGACCCAACACTGTAGCTGCACTAGCAGTCAAGAACCAGCCCTCAAACCATCTCTCCGTGAAACCTGGTTCTAATGGCGCACCCAATGCATCGCCGATTTTGCTCTTCATCTCAGGAGGCAAATTACTCCTAAGGAGTAACGCCGAACTGATCACATAGGTCGCTGTAATTTGTGAGATGATGAGGGCGAAATTCGTTCTAGCGTGATGCAAAAGACCAGGTACTACTCTGGCGAAGAGATAGAAGGTCTGAAGGACACTGTTGAATGATAATAGTAGCATCACGCCAGACAGGAGGAAGGAGATGGTGCGGCTCCAGGCAACTCGGTCAATGGTTGGATCCCAATGCTTCGCTAGTAGGGCGAGGACGTTGTTGATAGGATCGTTGCTTGCGAAGCTCGCATTCGGAGATGAGAAGCGACGCAGGGTAGTGACAGTGGTCGCAATGATGCGATACGCACAGTATATAGCGAAAATGTACGAGACGATGTTGAACAGCTTCCCATTGGCAGTATGTGAGCGCAGTTGATTTTGTCGACGGTTTTGGAGCACCGTCAGGGAGTTCTGAAGTGTATGGCGCATAGTCTCGAGGCCTTGTATCTCAAGCTGTAGAGTATTTCGCTCCTGGACGTCAGGGTTTCCGCGAATCGATCCTACTACGCGACCCATGAAGCCTTGCTGAGGGTTGTCCGCAAGTTTTCGTTCGACGGCACGAAGTCGGCTCTCTTTTGCCAGAAGCATGTCGTTTGTAGCTTGTATGCCGGCTTGCTTTCGACCGATATCCGACTCGGTGACCTGTACCAGATTAGTATACGTTAAAAGCGCCTCACACTACTGAGACGGAGTTCGCAGGCTTACTGGGCGGTATTTGACGCCGAATGTGTGCCAGAGAGCAGATATGGCAGCGAATCCGGCTAGTGAGGCCATCAGACTGATGCCGATTATGCCAATCCTTTCCAGACAGCCCTCGCTAAATGTATGATCATGCTCGTATGACTCTTCATGAAGATATGAGCCTAGGAGCCCTCGTCCAAGATACCAAAACCCTGCCAGCCATACTGCTAGCCCACAAAGCTCCAATGCCCATGCTGCTCTGCGTCGACTCTTCTGCTCTCCATTAATGTTCAGACCCGTCCCTGATATGATCGAGTGGATTTCGAAAGCCGGTGTTGCGACAACTAGAAGGAAGAGCAAGGAAGGTAGCGTGATCTTGAGGGCTAGTGTTCGTGTGGCGCGGTTTACGGTATTGGAGATTTCGCAGAGGATAAGTTCGGCCAGTACAGCCGAAAGGGCAAAGTTGGTCGAGAAGATGATGCTTGCGAGCGATCGCGCATTTGGGCGTAGGCGGTTCACAATCGAGGTCCTTTCGCGCTGGATCGATCCAGGCAGCCGCGCACCGTCATGATGCGCTTTGCGATCCGCATTGCCAGACAAGATAGGGAAGAGCCTCTGCGACACGACAAAAGCGACAACCAAGAAGGTAAGAATGAAAGGTAGCGCCGATACGGCCACTTTCATCGGACTCCGGTGCAAGGCATAGTCCGGCATGCACTCGTCGCAGTCGTCTTGGAGAATCGGGAACATCGGATCGGCGGTTCAGGTGGTCGGGAACTAATGCGAGGTTGCTTGGTATTGCCAGTTCGTCCTGGTTATGGGAAAGGTGCGTATATCCATCGATTACGCGGCACGGTATGGATACGTTGACACATTGAGGTCCTGTGAATGTGTAAGGTTACGCAAGTGAGGCAATGAGGGACCGCCGAGGCTGGGGAACCGTAGGGGACGCGCATGCATGTCGTGGCGCCACAGCCACATGAAACGACGTCACGCCGATCAAACCGGGGTCTGGCAACAGCTTCCGAAACACCACAATTTACCGTCTTTAGGGCTGATGTGGGAAGCCTGATATCTTGGGTATTAATGCTAACACTACGCGCCTTCCGAGTCTTTCTGCGCCGAAGAAGTGTCCTCGGACTTCTTCTGTGCTCCACTGGTGAGACTGTCCATGTAGGACATTGACGTATTTCCACCACCTGCATCTCCTTCGCCAAGGTTTAATTTCTCCGTTGCGCCTGTAACTTTATCCACAGCGGAGATCCCTGAAGTCGATACCCCGCCTTGGTCGTCCTCGTCCTCGCTGCTAGATTGACTACTGAGCTCAGGACTGTCTAAGTTTTGTAGATGTGGACTCTTCATCATAGGACCAGGACTTCGGGGATCATCTCCAACCAATGTACTAGTACCGGTGTCCAGTTCATCCTCGCTGCTGTCTGGCGCTTGTTCCACCTGTGCCAGAGGATGCGTGTCCGCTGCAGGTTTGGGTGCGGTCGCTGCGCCTCCAACTATCGCGGCCTCGTCCTCGTTCGCGAAGAAGCTGTTGCGAGGACTGTTGAACTCAGGAAGGCTTTCGCTCTTCGCGAGGATTTCTCTGTAGCCTTGACGATCTGGATCATTTGTGCGCTTGCTCTTTGCTTTGTCGCGTTTCGATGTGGGACGGACAACGATGACAGGTACTGGTGAATGCTGGAGACAGTACTTGGACACGCTACCCGGAAGTAGTCCCTGGAATCCACCTAAGCTCTTGCCTCGAGTTCCGACCACAAGAATCGCGGGTTCGTAGAGATTGATCTAGACGGTCATCAGAGAGAAATACAGTAAATTCATGAACAAACTCACCATGTCATCGATGACTTTGTTGACCTTGCCAATTGAAAATTCCAATATGAGGTTGATCGCCTTGTTGTCGTGATTCCGGCTCTGTATGTCGGCCATGGTATGCTCTGCCTCTGAACGATATCGCCCAGTCTCCACGCTCCGCTCTCCGGCTATTGCATCTTCCTTCTCCACCACTCTGAGGCATACTATCTCATCTCCGTCGTCGACCAGCTCGTTTATGAGCCATTGCAGAGCATATACTGAGTACTCGTTCTCGTCGAAACCACATAGGAACGTCCGCGAACGCTTGGTGTACTCGTAGTCTTTGTGTTTGGCGATCAATGTAAAAGAGCTCTCCTCGATGAAGTCTGCAGGCTTGTCGAAAGTGTCGAAAGATACACGAGGTTGGAAAACGCTAGACGGCGATGTCAGCATGTGGTTTCACGACTTTGCAATCACCAGAGTGAGACGCCGCCAGATCGAGTGCTTCCTCTGCATTCTCCAACATACTGGGAGCATACTTCGCCATTTTTACTCGCCATGAGCACTTGGACAGAAACATACAGGAGCAAAGATGCGCAAGCACTCGGGTATACAGGAAGCGCATGACATATGGTAAACCAGTACTTACGGTGGAGGCGGCGGTGACGACAATCGACGTCGTTCACGGGGCCTGGGGGCGCCTCTGGGTAGCGACGAATTTCTGTGTGCCAAAAACTGGATTGAAGGCTGCCGTATCTTGTCCTGCGCGAGGTGTCCGCCAGTCGGGAGCTGCAGCGGGCTCACTTTGTAAGATGCTGAGGACTTGCGAGGCGCTGGAGACGCATGCCGGCCGTCCCTCGACGTGGGGGACGCGCTCATAGTGATGTCGGAGTGAGATTACGGGCACGAGGTCCTGCACCAAGTCCAATCAGGTGAGCGGAGTGTCAGTGAGGTCCGACCGCGAGAAACTTGCTGGCGTGGGCTTGCGCAGGCGATCGGTGCTGCTGTGCGTCGTGGGCAGGGTCCTTGGCGCGGGGAATTAGCTGCTCGCGGGGTAAATGGGCGATTAAGGATGGCGGTGGGGAATGTTGTAGCAGTCTCTGCAGAGGTCGTGTGAGAGGAGTGAAGGATCGGGTCAAAGTTTGGTAGTCGTTAATGCACTGCCTGTTCCGGGTGACGGCATGCTTGGCTTCTTGGTGGTGTGTCGCGCGATCCGCATCCATCGTGTTCAGACCCTGGCGTACCGCGGAACGCGCCGCTGGATGCGTTGACACATGTGAATGGAATGACATCAGATGAGGTGCCAATCTCTGGTGTCGCTGTAAAGCAGAATCAAAGATTGGAATTGAGTCGATTCGAGAAGACCTTCACGACGAAAGATAAGAACAATTGTCACAAGGGGCGGAATGCATGCATGTCATTATTCCCGTTAAGTCCAAGTCTAAATGTCTATCAAGAAATGGGTGCAGGATGAGGCATTTCTCAAGCCAAAGCCTTGAGCTCACCCTGAGTAAGCTTCGCAGCACCAATGAGACGCTGGGCCTCCTCCTGGAAGATCGCCTTGATCTTGCCGGCGTCCTTCTCGCTGTTGAGCTTGCTGGTGATGGCAGCCAGTTCCTCGTTGTCCATCTTGACAATGAGAAGATCGACGTCGTTGAGAGCGGCGTCGACTTGGGAAGCAGGCGCATCGCCGGCACCGTGGAAGTAGTTGGCGTCCTTGACAGCGCCACGGACAACACGCTTGTTCTTCTTGGCTGCGTTCTTCGCAGCCTCCTTCGCCTTCTTGTTGTCAGCCTTTGCGGCCTTTTCGGCAGCCTCCTTCTCAGCGGCAGCCTTGGCCTCCTCAGCCTTCTTCTTCTCGGCCTCTTCCTTTGCGGCCTTCTCAGCAGCCTCCTTTTCGAGACGGCGCTTGTTCTTCTGCGCGCTCTCTGCTTGACGGAACTTCTTGATACGCTCGTCAAGAGCCAGAGCATCGTCCACCATGTGCCTCAGACGAGCGGTGTCCTCGGTCTTCTTCTTGCGACGCGCAGCTTGGTTCTTGCGTTCGACGTGACGCTTCTGGTCACGGTTCTCGTTATCGTCCGGAACATCCTCATCGAGGTACTCAAAGGTCCTCCAGCTGTCGAAGTTGTACCAGAAGTTGTAGAAGTGCTCGACCTCCTCCTTGCTGCTGTTGGCATTACCAAGCTTGGGCACAGGCTGGTTGTTCGAGAAACGTCCCTCGGCCTCGAAGACCTTGCCCCAAAGCTTGTAGAAGTTGCCCTTTTGCGTCTCCTTCTTGGATGGTGGTTCAACCTCAGCACCCTCGTCGACGGAGTCGAACTGCCTCCTCCTGACGGGGTCGGACAGAACTTCGTGGGCCTTTTGGATGCACTTGAAAAATTGATCGTCCTCGGTTGCGCCCTTAGCAGCCTTCTTGTCGGGGTGATGCTTAAGCACCTTCCTGCGGTGGGCGCGCTTGATCTGTTCGTCGGTGGCACGCCATCGGTAGCGGGTTATGCCGAGCACAGCGTAGTGGTCTTGAGACTGGGAAAAAATCAGTAAAATTCCACGGTATGCTTGGTGCTATCGTCCTTACCTTCCAGTCCTTGGCCTCACGCTGCAACATGACCGGGTCCTCAGGCTCGTCAATGTCATCGGGATCCTCCTCCTCGACGCTCTTGACGTTGGCCTGGGCCTGGATGCGGTCATCCTCGGAGAAAGTACGCTTGTTGCGCTTCTGCAGACGAATCGTCAGTACTGCATGTATTGTTGAGTCGTTTCTGGAATATAACGTACTCTGCGGGCATAGGCGAGGAAGTGTGGGCCAACAGGCTCGATCTTGCGGTCGTTTGCCTCGCTCAGCTGGCCGATGGCCTTGAAGTCTTTCTCGCCAGCCCAGCCCTCAGGCAGGACCGGCAGCGGTAGGGAAATCTCGACGTTTGCCATTGCGCAAGAATGTCGTTGTCGTGGTGGGGGAAACAGGCTGCGTGAGAAAAAGTGAGGATTCCCGCCGCACTAGCTTACCGAACCGTGATGCTAGCGCCGTGACCCCCGATAGCGATCCATGTCACTTAGCCGCGACGGACCCCAGAACGTGTCAGAATAGTGTTTGTCTCCCATGCTTCGGTGTCTGATATTCCATTAACCAAGTTTGTTACTTGTCTTCTTGCATGTCTTGCTATACGTCTTCATAATTCAGCATCATCATGTTCCAGGTACCTCAACTCCTTCTAGGCTGCACCTCAGGAAAGCTGACGAGAGACACAGCGCCTTCGCGGAGCCATCGACGCCAGAATAGCAGAAGAGCAAGCGCGCCAGAAAGCCACCACACCGACGACACCTGCGCGATCCAGCTCAACAACACGACGGTCCAATTCGCGGAACCTCTCGCCCTCGAAGCGAACAGCGAGATCGAAAGATGCCGACAGCAGCAAGACGGCGCCGGCAGGGAAGGGCCCTGACCCCTCAGAGTTTGACCCCGAGTTCGTCATAGGAGAGGAAGAAGATCAGCCGAGTCGAGCCGGCACACCGCGACCAAAGGAGAAGGCGCAGCCCGCAGAAGCCAGTGCTGAGAATGGCGATGGCAAGAAGGAGGAGACAGAGGGACCGAGTGCTGAAGTAGAAGAGAAGCCAGAGCAGCCGCCAGAGATACCGCCAGAGGTCAAATTGCGGTTGCGCAGATTGGACAAACTTGAGCCCAAGTATACCGGTTGGTGATGTCTCGTGTTTGTATGCGCCAAGCTAATTCCCTTACCAGAGCTCCTCCGGTCGTACCGCATCGCACACGCCAGAGTGGGCGCAATCGAGGCCTTTGAAAGCTCCCTCCGCGAATACACGCCTCTCACCTCCATCAGCGACACTGGCGCATTTGTCGAATACCTAGGCCAACTCAACGTCAAGAGTGATATGCTCATGGAGGAACTCAAGCGGGTGTCCAAAGAACGCGACGAGCTCAACAAAAAGCTCGAGGATGCAGAGAAACGCGCAAAGGAGGCCACGGACGAGGTGGAGACCCTAAAGTCACAGGCGCCGGCGACCAACGAGGCTGCACAGGATGATTCTACCACACAGACTGAATCCGTCGCACCTTTGTCCCCTTCCAAAGCGTCTAAGCAGACCGAGACCACCGAAGAGACCGAAGACTTCTTCTCGTACGATAGCGAACTGCCTCGCTTGCAGTCTCAGCTACAAGAGAGCGAGGAGAAGATCGGAAAGCTCGAAGAGGAGAACAAGTCGCTCAAGAACGAGCTTTCCACGGCGCAAGAGTCCGCTCAGTCGTTTATGCAAAACTTGGAGACAACTACAAACGATCTAAACACGTTCAAAGATACGCATCAAAGGCTATCAAAGGACGCCGATGATCGCGAGAAAGAGCTCAACAACACAATCGCTGATCTCAAGTCAAAAGTTGACAGTGCCGAAGGAGAGCTCCAGAAACACAAGGATACACATGACCAAAGTGAAAAGACCATCGCCGGGCTCAAGGCTAAGCTCGATTCAACGACCAAAGAACTCGAGGATCTACATGCAGATAAGGGAGAGAAGATTGTGGAAAACGATCAGGTGCAAGAGCTTCGACGGCGAATCGAAGAGCTTCAGGGTGAACTTTCTCAACTGCGCGAAACACACGCCAAGGCCGAGAAGCGGAACGAGACCATGGAGGGGCTGCTCAGCAAAGTGCGCGAACAACTCAAAACTACAGAGACGAAGCGTGACAGTGCCTTGGCTGACCTCGAACAAGCAAAGAAAGACTTGCAGAAAGCCAATGACGAGAAGAAGACGACCAAACCAGAACCGGTCCAACTACCACAAGCAACTCCTGCTCAAGCTCCCCAAAGCGCAGCGGCAAAGAAGAGGGCTCGTAACAAGAAGAACAAGAAGGGAGGAAACGGGCCCGCGGCTAGCGGAGCGTTGACGCCCGAAGCAACCCCTAGTGAAGCTGGAGACACTGAAGGGCTACTCAGCCCTCGTGATGCAGAGTTCACACCATCCCAACTTGAGGATGCTTTGAAGAACGTTGCACAACTGAAGTCTGATCTGGAAGAGAAGGCTGCAGCAATCGACGCACTGCAGACTGAAGTGGCTGAGAAGGCATCATCTATCGACCTTCTCAGAAAGAAGGCCAAGGACCAGGAAGACATGCAGGAAGAGATCGACACTTTGCGTCAGGATCTTCTTGATTACGGCCTTGAGCATACTGAGGCTAAGGACAAGGTCAAGACGTTGCAAGCCGAAAAGGCGGCACTTCAGGAGAATCTGAGCAAGCTGGAGGCTGAGATCGCCGAACTGAAGACTAGCAAAGCGTCTCAGGAGTCATCGCAGCAAGAGAGAGAGGCACTGACAGCAGAGTTCACAGAGCTAAAGTCAAAAGCAGAAACTCTGCAGACTGATCTTTCGGTTGCAGAGAAGCTTGCTGCATCTCGCTTCAAAGACCTCACCGAAATGAGAGAGGTGTTGCAAAAGGCGCAGCCTGAGCTTACGTCGTTGCGCAAGGAGGTGGCCGAGTTACGCACTACCAAGGATGAGCTCACCAGCAAGACTACGGAAGTCCGGCGATTGGAAAACCGCGAGAAAGATCTCAGGTCGGAAATCACCGAATACCGGTCCCAGCTATCAACCAAGGAAGGCGACATCAAAACTCTCAATGACAAAATCAAACAGGAAACCAGCCAGAGGCTTGCGCTGGAGGAGACGAACAAAAAGATTCAGCGAGACCTTCAGAACTCCGAGACGGAGCGGGAAGACGTCATCGAAGCCCGGAACAGGGTGGCGACAGAGTTGATGAAGGCAAAAGTCGACCTCAAAGCATCACGCGGGAAGGTGCAGGATCTAGAAGAAGAAGCCGCGAAGCTCATTCGCGAAGTGGGGAGCCTACGTGAAGAAATTCAGATGAAGTC